GTATTCTTTCTGCTCATTAATTTTATTCCTAAGCTCATTGAACTGTCTTTCTGAGTTTTCTTGTAACTCTCTGAGTTTCTTTATGACAATATTGTGATTTCTCTGTCGTTTGGAATATAAACTTCTTTGACTTCAGGATTGGTTTCTGGAGATTTGTCATTTTCCTTCTGCTCTGAAGTGTTACTGTAGTTCTTCGTGGTGCTGATAAATTGATCCTTTGCTGTCACATTTGTGGTAGTATCAAGTCACAGGTTCCACCTGCCACCGCTGGAGAGGGGCAGGAGCTGTTTTCTGATCCCTCCCTGTCTGCTGGATGTTGTGTGGGTAGGGCTGCTGTCTGTTTGCGCGGGCTGGACACAGCCACTCTGCAGGTTGCGCTCACGTGGGAAGGGCCTCTTCGCCATGCAGGCAGGTGACATAGCCTCTGTGCTTGGCAGGTGAGTCACTCTTGCGTGGGCGGGTTCGCTGCACTGGGTAGGGGACTGACTGAGCAGCTGTGGTAGGTGGGAGAGGTGCCTATGTGGGGGCTGAGCCACCACTTGGTTGGTCCTGCAGGCTGCTGTGCTCTGCGGGTGGAGCACCTTCTGAGTGGGCAGGGCACCTTCTTGCCTGTGCTGCACTTGGCAGGAGGGCACATTCACAGGGGCTGAGCCGCCATTTGGTGGGTCCTGCGGGCTGCTGTGCTTCACAGGTGGGGCGCTTTCTGAGTGAGGTGCCTTTTCGCCTGTCCTGCACTTGGCGGACAGGTGCTTCCATGGGAGCTGAGCTGCCACCACTTGGTGGGGAGCATTCTTACAGAGGGGGCTGCTGTGGCGTGGTGGGCACTTCCGTGAGCCAGGCTACCACTCTGAAAGCGTTCACTTGGGCTTGCTGCCCCGGCCTCCTCTTACCTTTGTGCCGGCTGCTGTGTGAGAATCCGCCATCTGGCTTGCTGCTCCCCCCAGGAGGGGGAGGAGTGCACTCACCTAGTTCCACTGCCTCCCAGGGATCCAGTCCACCCACCTTCAGATGTATGGGTCGTCCTGTTTTGTTGTGTGGGGAATCTTCTGCTGGTTAGTGAATGTCCATTTATTTGCAACTTAGAGGAGAGAGACAAAGGGAATAACTCATTCTGCCATGATGCTGACATTACTCCTTACCTTCAGCTTTCAACAGTTTGACTGTGGTGTGCCTTAGTTGACCTTCTTTGTATTTATCCTGCTTGGAGTTTGTTAAGTACCTTGCATCTATAAATGTATGTCTTTCATCAAAGTTAGGAAATATTTAGCCATTATTTTTCAAATAGTTTTTCTGCCCTATTCTTTCTCCTCCCCTTCTGGGACTCCAGTTATGTGTATGGTATTATCTAACAGCTCTCTGAGTTTCTGTTAATTTTTATTTCAATCTTTTTTTTCTTTATTTTTCTCACTGGATAATTTCCATTGATCTGTCTTCAGGACCACTTGCTCTTTTCTCTGTCATCTCCAGTTCGTTAAGTCCATCCACTGTATTAATTTTTCAGTTCTGGAATTTCCATTTGATTTTTTTTTCACTTGTTTCTATTTCTCTGCTGAGATTTCTTAATTTTTGGTTCATTGTGAATATATTTCACTTTACTGAAGACAGCTATAATAGCTTATTTAAAATCCTTGTTTGCTAATTCCAGCATTTGGATCATCCCAGGATTGGTCTCAGTTATTTTATTTTGAGAATGTCTTCCATTTTCCTGGTTATTCACATATTGTAAGTTTTGGATTGTATCTGACATTGAGAATGTTAAGTTTGAGAGACTCTGGAGTTCTGTTATTTTTCTTCGATGAGTATGGAGTTTCTTTAGTTTTAGCAGGCAGTTATCTTGGTTGGACTCAAACTATAAACTCTGTTTCTTAGTTAGCAGCTTGAATCTTGGGTCAGCCCTTTTGTCACTAGCTGAGTTGCTATGAGTGTGTTCTGTGCATGTGTGGCTTAGGGGTCAGCCAAGGATGTGGGCAGACAGAGTTGGGGATACTTTCTCAGATTCTTTCCCTTCTTTCCAGTCGATGTGGTTTCCCAGATTCAGTTTTGTGGCTCCTTGACCAGAAAGACTGCATTTGTTCCCCACGGATCCCCAGCCAAAGGCTGTGAAACCATGAACTCATTCTGTGCAACTCTCCTCCTCCAAGTGTGGGATCCCGTCTGCCTGTGTTCACTCTCCAGTGCCTTCAGATAGCTGCTTTTAGTTTATAGTTACCCTAGTTTATAGTTTTCTGGAGGATTGTTGGAATGGCAGGATCTTAGTCATTACTGAAGCCAGTCTTTTGAACTTTCATTTTAGTAAACAAATACTAGTAAACGAATTTTACTAGTATTACAATTACTATTGTATTTGTTTAGTAAACAAATACAATAAACGAATAAAAAGAAAATTTATTTGTTTATAATGTTATAAACAATATAATGTTAAGTAGTTGTATTGGTTATCTATTGTTTTATTACAAACCACCTCAAAACTCTGAGGCTTAAATCAACTATCATTTATTATTATAATTCATGCAACTATCCGACTATGGGTTGGTTGAGTGTTGGCTGATCTAGGCTGGACTAGGCTGAACTTGTGTGTTTTTATTTCCACTGACTCACTTGTGTATCTGTCTGCAGGTCACCTGGGGATTTTGCTCTAGACTGGGCTTGGCTAGGCACCTTAGTGAGAACAGCTCTCCTCCGTGGGTTTCTCATCTTCTTCCTGGGAACAGTGGGCTAGCCTGGGTTTATCCTTCTCATGGTGCTGACAAAAGTGCAAGAGAGCAGTTTCACAAGGGCTTGTTCAAGCCTCTGCTTATAACATGTCTTCAAACATCCCATTGGCTAAAGCAAGTCACATGGCTTAACTCAGAATCAAGGGTGGGGAAGCATGCCTCTTGGTGAGAAAATCTGTAAACTCATATGACAAAGGAGCCAGTAGGCAATGGTGAAGATTTGGGGCCGTTCATGCATTCTACATAGCAGTAATAAGTGCCATAAAAAAAATTAAAGCAGGATAGAGATAGGGCATATGTGTGTGTAAATATATACATGCTTTTTTAATACAAAATTTGAATTAACATATATACTTGTGTAGCCTACCTTTTCATTTAATATGATACCCACAATGCAGTAAACCATTCTCAACTTTTTTTTTTTTTTTGAGGAAGATCAGCCCTGGGCTAACATCCATGCCCATCTTCCTCCACTTTATATGGGATGCCGCCATAGCATGGCTTGACAAGTGGTGTGTCGGTGCACGCCCAGGATCCAGCCGGTGAACCCCGGGCCGCTGCAGCAGAGCACGTGCACTTAACCATTTGCGCCACCGGGCCAGCCCCCATTCTCAACTTTTTGACTATTTTAGGCCATTTAAAAATTTTTACCCCTCCTTGATTTGTGGAGTGCTTACTTTTTTTCTTTTAATTGAGGTAACATTGGTTTATAACGTTATATAAATTTCAGCTATACATCATTATATTTCGATTTCTGTATAGACTACATCATGTTCACCACTCAAAGACTAATTACCATCTGACACCACCTCTTAAAGCATTTCGCATGTATTATTTCATCCTTACAACAGTGTAATGAAATAGATACTCTTACTGTCTCCACTCTACAGGTACGGAAACTGAGGTACAGAGAGGCTAAGTAACTGGCCTAAAGTCATCCACTTTATAAGTGGCGGAGAAAGGATGTGGAGTTGGGCAGCCTGTCTCAATACACATTCTTGTGTAGACTTATAAAAGTATAAAAGATTATGTCCACATGTCTGAGTATTTCTTTAGATAGTTTCCTAGTAGTGGAGTATTGGGTCATGGGGTAGTTGTAACACTTAAAGGAGTGTTATTTTCGTTTTGCTGCCAGTTGACTGAGCACCTCAAAGTTGTTGCTGGCTAGTTTGTCTCTCCCACTGTAAGACAGTAATATGCCAGGCTTGCCAGTGAACTGCAGGAAAGTAAGCACCTACTCTGTGTGCTTCAATAAGTATGAGACCCAGAACTGGTGTGGTGTGAACTGTGGAGGCCTGAGAAACACCTGGGGCCAGTGAACCTCAGTATGGCAGGCCTGAGTGAGCCCAGGCCCTAGGCCAACTACAGGTCCGATTGTTACTGCAGACAGCACAGGCTTCTGCAAATGATGACCACTTCCTGGGCCAGAGGACAGCTTTATGTGTGGTTAGCGGGACTCTCCAGTTCATCGTACATTAGCCTCCCTGGCTCCACACACAGTTTGAATGATGAGGCACCGGAGATACAGAGTGATTTCAAGGAACTGGCAGAAAGTGCAGACGACTTAATGAAGGGGTGATCATCTGGGTAGTAGGTTTTCTAAGTCTCTTGTCCTTTTACCATTTCCATTTCTGTCATTCCAGCCGATCTGGGCTATATGGATAGCCTACTTTGCAATGATGGAAGAAATGAATGGAGAGGGAGAGAAATCTGGTTGAGTTTTAATTATTAAAAGCTCTGAATCAAAGCTGGCATAGGGATAATGTTAAATTGAGAATTTGGGATTTTCTCTAGATTGGGTTGTTTTTGAAGTAACTCTGGTTGCCAATGAGTACAGTCAGCCCTCCTTATCCACAGGTTCCGCATGCGCAACCGCAGATCGAAAGGCCTGCGATGGTTGTATCTGTACTGAACACGTAGGGACTTTTTTTTCCTTGTCATTATTCCATAAACAATGCAGTATAACAACTACTTACATAGCAATTACATTATATTAGGTATTATAAGTAATCTAGAGATGATTTAAAGTATAGAGGAGGATGCACATAAGTTATATGCAAATACGACATCATTTTATATAATGGACTTGAGCATCTGTGGATTTTGGTGTCCGCAAGGGTCCCGGAACCAATCCCCCCCAGGATACCAGAGAATGACTGTTTACAAAGCCACATACGACTCTTACTGGCGTTATGGGTTTTGGTTACCTATAGGTGTTCAAAGTTGTGTCCACTCTGTCTATTATGTATTTTGTGCCTAATATATTTTTTTCTTTTTTTGCTTCAGGTTAGTAGCAAAGATGAAGATTTTCTTGACCTTTCTGTTGATGTGGAGCAGAATACATCTATTACCCACTGTCTAAGGTAACCCCGTGAATTCTGACTGTGGTCTGAGCTTTTGATCAGGCTAGTAAATAAGTGGAGAAAAAATCCTGTATTTCTTCAGTAGATAATCTTCGTTTCTGGTAAACCAATGTAATCTTATTATTTTGTATTTCTTCTTTCCCAAGAGAGATTAAAAATAAGTATATGTAGTCTAGACAAGAGTCCTGCTGAGAAGAGAGAGGATCAAGTGGAAGTCATTAGTCATTACATTTAAAAATAAGTTTTTAATCTTTAATAAAGATGTGTGCTTTTGGCTTTCATCAGTCTCGCTCTGTTTCTCTGTCTTTCACGCACATACAGACAATCACACAATTAAGTTAATAAATGCTACAGATGTCTACCATTACTTTCTTTTTCTAAGTTAATCTGTTATTTTCAAAATTATGCACTTTTGAGCTGAGAACCAACAAGGGAATTGCCTTTTTCTCCATCTTTCAGCATTCTATGGAGATCATTTATGGAAAGAAATTCCTCCTCATTAGGGCTGAGAGGAGGAATTATAATTAGCCTGGCCCTGTCTGGACACTGGGGATAGAGGAGTGAGCATTAGACACGGCCCCTGCCCTTGCACCGTTTATGTCCTAGTGGGTATCCACAGATGGTGATCAGTGCTTTGAAGGAAATTAAACAGGCCTAGAGAGTGCCTGGTGGTGAGGGTGCCAGTGTAGAGCCAGTGGTCAGGGCAGGCCTCCCCATTCTTAGGATACCACAGCTCAGAGACATTTTATAGTGTTATAACAAGGCACTGTTGATTTTTGTGTGTGTGTGTGTGTGTGTGTGTGAGGAAAATTAGCCCTGAGCTAACATCCGATGCCAATCCTCCTCTTTTTGCTGAGGAAGACTGGCCCTGGGCTAACATCTGTGCCCATCTTCCTCTACTTGATATGGGACGCCGCCACAGTATGGCTTGACAAGCAGTGTGTCAGCCTGCGCCCGGGATTCGAACCGTGAACCCCGGGCCACCAAAGCAGAGCACACGAACTTAACCACTACGCCACTGGGCCCCAGCACTGTTGATTTTTATCAGTAGGAATCGGGTGACAGAATTGTTCTTTCAGGATTTCAGGTTACTTGGAACCTTTCAGAAGACTAGATTAAAGGGACTTGCTGTGGTGGATGACTGTCATCTTTCAGGGCGCAGGCACCGACTCCAACTGGAAGAGCTTCTTGGTTCCTCGGGGTGTGACGGCTTGTGTGAGCACGGGGCTGATTGCTCTCCCATTTCCCGGGGGTCCAAGGTCCCCTCCCCCGCCTCCCTGATAGTTACCTGGTTACCTCAGCACTTCCTCTTGGTTTGGCATTTCAGTCTTGTCTTCAAATGTCCAGGTGTCCAGGACAAGTTTGTTATCTCTGTTTGCAAAGTGTTTTGTAGGCCAGGATGGCCTCTTTTTCTTCGGAATGGTTGTTTATGGCATGGGTTCCTAATATTCCTGTGAAAAGAAGCCGTTTTCGATTTCCTCAAGGTTTTATGATCACAGGGAGTGGAGAAGTTAAGTTAAGAAGTTAAGTGTGCTAACTATTAGTCGAAAGTGAGGGAATAGGAGGAAAAGTATTACTTGATCATTCCTCTTTTTTTGTGAGGAAGATCAGCATTGAGCTAACATCTGATGCCGCTCCTTCTCCTCTTTTTGCTGAGGAAGACTGGCCCTGAGCTAACATCCGTGCCCATCTTCCTCTACTTTATATGGGACGCCGCCACAGCACGGCTCTACAAGCGGTGCATCGGTGCACGCCCGGGATCCGAACCGGCGAACCCTGGGCCGCTGCAGCGGAGTGTGCACACTTAACCGCTTGTGCCACTGGGCCGGCCCCTCATTCCTCTTTTTTGAGAAAGGGAGATGGGGAGAAATTGGAGTTAGGGAGGCTGACTGCTTCCCCTCCCTTCTGAGAAATTCCTGAGCTGTTCAAAAGGTAGATGGCAGTGGCCGTAGCTTTGAGGCCAACTAGGTAAAGAGCTAACTGTCTAGTTATAATTTCAGCCTTTGGGGAACCTTGTTCTAAAGAAATGTAACCCAGATTTATGTTTCCATTTTTTTTCTGGGGAAATGTATGTATTGGTCATGCATGCCTGATGAAGGCAGGCTAGATGCATTTGGAGATGTTAAAGCTGGGATGGATGAGTACAAAATAGCCTTGGAAAGCCTTTTAAACAACATTAGATTCTCATCTGATTGGACTGTCCGGGCTGATATTCCTGAAGTGTCTACCCCACCCCATTTTACATCATCCTTAAACTAGACCTTGACTGACTTACCTGTACCTGCCCTCATGTGTGCCTAAGATCTTACCTCCCCAACATAAATAAAGAGAAGCCTGCCAGGGGTTGCCATTCACCATTGAGAGATCAGTGATAGGGGTGGCAGCTTTCCGACTATCCCAAAAGGAGGACGTGCAGGAGAAAGGCCCAGGGGATAAATGATGCCAGCTGATGCATTAGCTTTTTCTATCCGAGACAAGAGAGAAGAATGATTATGATCTTTATTGGCCCCTTTCAGGGTTTAATTTGGTTTGTGTTCTTGAGGGTTTGTATTTAAAATCAAAATTATGAATTTTTTTCTTCATCATGTCCACGTGTCTCTTCTGATGTGCTATTTTTATCTTTCATTTATTTTGATAATGAAACAAGTTAAAAATCAAGCTATGATTGTGGGATTTAAATGTAAGATCTCTGCCACCTCCTTCCAGAACGGCTTTAGGTGGTCAGTTACAGTGTGTTTTCACTGACCTTTTGTCCTGGAGAAATGATGATATAAAAAATAGTGGTTAAATTCAGAATATGGGTCTAGAGAAGCCGTGAAATCCATCTTGTCGCTGAACTATATTCTAATATTGCAAATCTCAGTGTGTCTTAGGCAGGGTGAGCCGTCTGTATCATAGGAGGATACTGAGAGAGTTTTTTTTTTCTTTTGAAAAGTTCAGGGATGGCCTCAGGCAAAAACTTATCTTAATGTTTTGTCTTCCACTTCAGTGCCTTAGTCCCTCGCTGTGGCTCCTTCATAGAAACTTACCTTTCGCCTCAACTGCTCTGTGTTCTGAAACCGCTTTCCTCTTCCTCTGTTTCCTCTCGTTAACAATTCCCGTCCTCTCAGTGCTGGGGAGGTCAGCTAGGCATTAGGAGGAAAGTAGCTTCCAAGGCTCTATTTTAAAAATTACTCTTCTTTTTTCAGTGGGGGGTTGGTAGGATGCGGTCATCTAATAATTTGAGACTTTCTTAGTTCAAGGTAAGTGCAGTTGTATATGGTTTAAATTTCATTGTTTTCTCTTTTATGCTCTTTGAAAATGGAGACCACCTGATTCATACTATTTTTCATTAACTGACAATAATGTCACCTTGCATTTTTGTGATTGACTTTTTCTATTTATCTTGAGAAACTTCTTTTATGTACTAAAGTTCATGTACATCCCCCCCACCCGTCCATTGCCACATGCTTCTCTCTATTCTGTTTTTCTGACCTGTGTTTTGGTTTTGGTTATTGATATGTGGTATTTTCTAATATCTGACACATAAGTCTTTCTTTTGGATTTCTTTTTTTAATCTTTAATACTGTAGTCAGTGGTTCTCAAACTTTGGTGTGTATTAGAATCACCTGGGGAAATTGGTAAGAATCGAGGCTCGGGCTGTTTTCAACTTCTGTGAGCCTGGGCCTAGATTTTTAATTTTCCGGGTGATTTTGATACCACCATAATTTGAGAACCACTGCTCTAGATCTTTGCTGCTCCAACAGGGTTCCATGGATTAGCACCATTGACATCACCTGTGATCTCTTTAGAACTGCAGCATCTCAGGTCTCCCCCAAGAATGAATGAATGAATCAGAGCCTGCATTGTGACAAGATCTCCAGGTGATTCAAATGCATGTTAATATTTGCAAAGCATTGGGAGCAGTGGCTTTCAGCCCTTGCAGCACATTGGAGCCACCTGAGAAGCTTTAAGAACAATAGTGCCTGTGTTCTATCTGGAGAGATTCTGATATAATTTATGGGGGTGGGGGGCATTGAGATTGTTTTTCTTTTTGCTGAGGAAGAGTCACCCTCAGCTAACATCTGTTGCCAATCTTCCTCTATTTTCTGTGTGAGTCAACATCACAGCATGGCCACTGATAGACAAATGGTGTAGGTCCGCGTTCATGAACGCGGGCCACCAAAGCAGAGCACGCTGAACTTAACCACTAGGCCACCTGGGCTGGCCCTTGAGATTGTTTTTAAGGCTCCCCAGGTGATTCTAATGAGCAGCCAAGTGAACCACTGCTGTAGATTCTGCAAGAAAGCTTCCCAACTGGTGTGCCATGGAAAATGGGGTACAGGTGTGTATAGATCCCCTCAGCTCCTGGGAGGCTGGGCAGAGCCTGGAGCTGCCAGAGCCCCATGGCCAGCCACAGGAGCAGCCTCATCGGTTTACCCCAGCTCCCTTCTCTATAGTATCATTTTCTATGTGAATCATGACATGAAAATTATTGGGAAGCATTGCATGAGAACTTTTTTTTAAATCAATTTTTGAACTATTGTGTTCAGTGGAAAAGTTAAGATTTTAATTAAAAATGTATCAAATATGGACATTAAGTTGGACATGATCGCTGTCTTTACATTACGTAGCCTTCCCATCCAGGAACATAGCCTTTCTCCATTTTTTCAAGTTTTCTTGTATACACTTCCATGAAGTTTTATAGTTTTTCTTTCCTTAAAGAGGTGTTTATTTCATATTAGCTTTGTTCCCAAAGTGTATTTTTAAATAGCGTTTTATTGCCACTATGACCCTCTTTAAAGAAATACAAAGAGCTTTGTGCTTCGCCCTCAACCTCTCCCCTGTGCTTTGGCAATTTATCCCGAGTGGCGGAAAGACCTCTCTACTGTCTCTCTCCTCTTGGACTTTCTTGTTGGAAAGCGTCAACCTTTGTTGTCTGCATTTGTTCCCACAGTTGTGTAGCATCAACTTGACAGACCTGCTCTGCCTCAGTTTCCTGCCAGGGTCATCCCCTTTTCCTAATTACCTCATTTTCCAATTCTCAGCTCATAGGTGCCCTAAAAGCATTACCCTGTCTCGAATGGCAACCAGCTTCCAGCCAGCTGGGGCTGAGCACCATGCTGGGTATTTGTAAATCAAGTCTTTTTTGTGTGTGTGTGTGAGGAAGATCAGCCCTGAGCTACCATCTGCCAATCCTCCTCTTTTTTTGCTGAGGAATATTGGCCCTGGGCTAACATCCATGCCCATCTTCCTTCACTTTATATGGGATGCCGCCACAGCATGGCTTGACAAGTGGTGCGTCGGTGTGCGCCCGGGATCCGAATTGGCGAACCCTGGACCGCCGCAGTGGAGCGCGCGCACTTTACCGCTTGCGCCACCGGGCTGGCCTCTCAAGTCTTTATTTATTTATTTTTTTTGTGAGGAAGATCAGCCCTGAGCTAACATCCATGCCAGTCCTCCTCTTTTTTGCTGAGGAAGACTGGCCCTGGGCTAACATCTGTGCCCATCTTCCTCTACTTTATATGGGACGCTGCCACAGCATGGCCCGACAAGCGGTACATCGGTGTGCGCCGGGGATCCGAACCCGGGCTACCAGCAGTGGAGCGCGCATACTCAACTGCTACACCACGGGACAGGCCCCTCAAGTCTTTAAATTAGGTACTAACTTCTGCTATATTTCTACCTACTTGGGTCTACAAATACTTCAAAAAACTTTTTTTTTGAGAAATAAGAGTGAGTAGAAAGTGTTGAATTCCTTATTTATTGCTATGTCTGCCTTAGTTGTTCTGATTCTTTAGCTGATAAAGAGATTTGTCTGTGGTAGACCTTCCAAAGATGTAAATCTGCACCATCACCCGTCCGCACCTCCCCTTCTCCGTGGCTCCTGCATTCCACCCCAGTAAATCCTGTGCAGGCCAAGAAAAGATTTCACATCAGTTATTCCATTGAAGAGTTGGCCAGTCTTCATTCAGCGAAGTTTGAGTCTGTGTTATGCACCAAGAACTTGAAATTGAGGCATGAGTATAATTGCCTTCTAAATTGTTTCTTTGCCTTTTGGCCCCCTTCAGTCCTTCCTCTGCAGTGCTGCCAGAAGTGGTATTTCTGAAAAGCACTGTCTGATTATGTCTTTTCCTTGCTGAGACTAGTTGGTGGGACTGCAGAGCCACGGGGTCCACGCCAGCTTCTAAGAAGCATGCTCCGTACTTGCCTCTAGGCCTCTGTGCTGTGGCATTCCCTCTATCTGCAATCCTTGAGGCTTGTCCACTGGCCACGCTTTTCCTCGTTGAGAACCTGACTCGGATATCACCCTTTGGGGAAACGTCCTGAATTACCCCAGTTCAAGTTCATTTCTTCTTCCTCTGTGCTTTCCCCGGGGCTTTATACACATTTCTGTCTTGGTTCGTTTGTCACCCAACAAACATTATGAAATGCCATGATGTGTCAGGCCTGTTCTCAGTGCTGGGGCTTTAGCAGTGAGTGAGACGTGGAGGATCACTGCCCACACAGAGGAGAGGCAAGTAGTCAAATGAATAGGAGGATGGTTTTAGATAGTGGTAAGTGCTCAGAAGAAAACAAGACAGCAACAGGTTGGGGCTGGGTGGGTTTGGAGAGACTGGCCAGGGAAGTCCTTTCCAAAGAGGTAACATTTAGGCTGAGCTCTGAACAGTCAGTGGAGTCAGCCATGGAAGCATCTGGCAAGGAGCTATCAGGGCAGAGAAAACGGCACCTGCAAATGCCCTGAGGCAGGGAGAGCATGGCTCTCTGGAGCTACAGGAGAAGGCTAGCTGGTGTGGCTGGAACAGAGTGAAGGAGATGGGGCAGGAAGAGATGAGGCCAGAAAAGCATTCAGGGGTCTGAGGATGGACAGCCTGTCGGCCATAGCAAGGAATTTGGATTTTATTCCAAAGTGCACTGAGGAACTGTTTTATGGCTTTAGGCAGGGGACTCAGCTGTGTGAAATGATTTATGTTTAACCTGCACTGAACATTACATGTTGTCAGTGGCTCATTGCAAGTGTCTGTTAAACTGTGAGCCGTGTGAGGGCAGGTACTCTGCGAGTCCCCAGCACCTAGTTCACGGTGCTCTGGGTAAATGTTTAGGGTTTAATGAATGGATAATTTATATTTTCTTTTGATAAGCTCTGTTTAAGTGGTTGAGTCATTAACACCATGTAAATAACATTTTCTATTTAATAAAATCTGATCATTCTGATGCTGGGACATTCCCTATGAATAAGGAGATGTCACAGACTTCTTCGAGACTCTAGGGTATTATTATATTCTGGATGCTTCTCTCAGCCTTTGAAGCAGTACCACAGGAATGCTAAGTAGAATCTCAATGACCAGGAAAGAATGAAAAGCCATGACATTTAAAAAATGAAAACTACTAAGTAGTACAGTAAAACCTCAAGATAAAGTGAGTACAGATATAACATCACAATGGCATTTGTTCTCAAAAGGAGGCAGGCTAAAGTTCTTATCTTCCAGGGTGTGGGGAGGTGGGAGTGGGAAGTTGGTAGGAAGCGGACATCTCCTGATCATTTGGGACTTTCTTAGTTCAAGATAAGGGCAGTTGTATATGGTTTAAGTTTCATTCTCTTTACTATTATGCTCTTTGAAAATGGAGACCACCTGATTCATACTATTTTTCATTAACTGACAATAATGTCACCTTGCATTTTTGTCATTGACTTTTTGGGACTCAACTTATAGTATAATGGTGGGCTAGTTACTATTTTCCTATTATAATTTTTTATCTCTAATTTACAGGTATTCTCTGTTAAATTCTGATTTTTTCCTGAATCAGTTGGAAACCCTAATTTATATCTAGCTATTCCATTAAGTAAAGCTATCCTTGAAAATCTCTTGTGGTGAACTCCTAACCCAGTCCAGTAGACACGCTCTAATGGCATCCTAGCACCTACTCCTAGGAAGGATCTTTTCTCATTACTTCTTTCCCCACATTCACTTTAAAATTACCCTGCAGGTAATAGAGGATTTAAAACATGGTATGCCAAGTACCTTTTGGACTTTTTTTTAAGTTGAAAATATTTTTCTCTGCAGAGACTTCAGCAACACGGAAACACTGTGTAGTGAACAGAAATATTATTGTGAAACGTGCTGCAGCAAACAGGAGGCCCAGAAGAGGTGCGTGAAGGATTTAGCTTGGGAGGGTGGCTTTGTGTGGTGAGAAGGAACCAGACTGTGGTATCCGACAGATCTGATTTTGAATCCCAGTTCCTTGGGCTCATAGCCAAGTAGCTTTGGGGAAGTCAGTTACCTTCCTCACTGGTAAAACTAGGATAAGGGTGCCTACCTGGGAGTCTGTCCATTTTCTGATTGTTTGCTCATTTGTTTGTCTGTTCATTCATTCATTCATTCATTCATTAAATATTTATTGAGTGCTACTGTATACCAGGTACTATGCTGGGTAAACAAGTGGTGATCAAATATAATTTCTATCCTCTTGGGATTAAAGGCAAATTATGAAAAGGATTAGCATAGTACGTAACATGTAGTAGTCACCTAATAAGACTGTTAGTATTGCCTGAACATTGGAACTTCTTATTTAGAAGACGGTTAAAAAAATTAATCACTTAATAAGGAATCATGAGGAAATCAATTAAATATCAGTTATATGGAGAGGTGATAAGGAAGTTATCACATTCTGAATTGATCTAGGACCCAAGGTTGCCCATCTTTTTACCACCACGAGCCAGTTACAGCTCTTGGACAATCTGAGATAAGCAGTGATTCCCTGTTATCTGCCCCCAGAAGCCAAGAAACTTGACATTTTAATTATCCTGTGAAGCCTTTCTGTGAGTTAAATTTGCCCTGCCCATGGCTGTGGCATATTCATGGTAACTCACAGATGCTCATTACTGCTGTCTAAAACCCTCAGGGGTCTAGAGCTGAGGCTGAAATAATTTCTCTGTCCAGCCTCCCAGCCCTTTGCCCCCAGACATGCACATTTTTCCCTGCCGCATCAGAACTTACAACAGGTTAGTCATTGTGCAGACGGGAGTGGAGGTGGTAGGTAGTTATCTTTTGTTAGTGGTTAGTGGTCAGGGGAGCTCGCTGGCCTCTGCTCCCATCGTATAATCTAAGTCTGCCTAAGGCCAGACCCAGGTCTTCCTATGTGACATGAAGCTGTTTTCTGTTCTAGCCTTGCAGGTTTTGTTTTTTGTTTTTTGGTTCTTTTTCCCCTGAGGGTTTTATACATTAAAATGTTGCATATTCCTGTAAAATATGCGATTCCCTGTAAGTCGTAAGTTCCTGCTGATGTTGTTATTTTGCTTAGTTTTATGAACAGGATTTTACCTCAAAAGATTCCTAAATAGTATTCTCTTAAAATTCATCCTTTTCAAATAATATGCGTTGAAGATGTGCACATGCTGAACAGCATTTACACTAATTCAGGACATTTATAGAACAGGGGTCCTGGAAGGCAACCGGAAGATCCTCTATTCCAGCAGAATTATCTACATAAACTGTTGTCTTCATGACTTTTTACTGAGGAATATTAATGATCATCTAGAGAAAAAAGCTTTCTGTGTTTATGTAAGTTTGGGAAATGCTGCATCAAACAGAAGAGAATAGTTCCTTTACTGCAGAATTTCTCAGAACCTTCAGTATGCTCATATGCAGGGAGGAGCTTCAGAATAGAAAGTAGCGTTGTCTGAACTTGGCCACGGAACGCCCACATCTGTTAATACCTCCAGTGCTCTACTGAGCCCAGTTTGGGAAATGTAGCCCTACGCCAACCCCTGCGTTTTGTAAATGAGGAAACTGAGAGCCAGAGAAGGGAAATAACTTGCCCAAGAGCACGAGAGTAAAGAATGAAAGTGGGCCCAGCGTGCTTGGCTTCCTGATGGCCACAGGTGTGCAGCGTCTGAATGTCCCTGCCAGTCCTCAGAACCTGCAAGTCCAGACTGCACCCCTCTGCTTGTCCTTTCCCCAACTTGCTTTTCTCAAAAGCTGTTACCCCTCATCTCCATTATCTCTGGGCTGGAGGGGGTGATTGTTCAAATATTGTTCCTTCCTGGGAGGCAGAGGGCAGTGATGGAGAGCAATTGCACATTATATTTTTATTGGTACAAAAATTCTGGGTTGTCTCCTTTGACCAAACAGAAACCTGCGGTCGTGCTTTTCTCTCGCTAGCTACGCCCCAGTTAGTCAAGAATGTAGGATATGTCAGCACTATGTAAGCGAGCATATTTTTATTCTTGCGAGTGGTTTGGTTGTTTGCTGGTTTGAAGTTTGTTAGCCCCCTCCTGCTCTTTATTTGTGCAGGCCACAGTGCATTCTGTTCCCCTAATGGGTGTTGGGTACAACTGATTTCTATTTCGTGGTTTCTTAGGATGAGAGTCAAAAAGCTGCCCATGATCCTGGCCCTGCACCTAAAGCGCTTCAAGTACATGGAGCAGCTGCACAGGTACACCAAGCTGTCCTACCGGGTGGTCTTCCCGCTGGAGCTCCGGCTCTTCAACACCTCCAGCGATGCGGTGAACCTGGACCGCATGTACGACCTGGTCGCGGTGGTGGTTCATTGCGGCAGGTGAGGGCGGGGAAGCGAGAGGCACGTGACCAGTGTGAGGGTGTCCCGTGCTGAAACAGACCCAGTGGCACCCTTCCTGGGCTGTGAGACTCGCTAATAATTGTATTTTGGGGAATCTCTTCCAAGCTCTTGTTTATTTATCATCTCAAAATTAATCTAAACATACCTACATACACACATAAAATAAAATAAAATCATTTATTTTAATTAATTGATTAAAATAATTTAATAAATCTCCATTGGATATAAATGATGCTTAGGAGAAATAACATGGAGGAATAAATGTTTATGCTATCTATGATCATAATTTTCAAAAAGCCAAGTGACATGTATAGTATGATCTCAAAAGTATTTTAAGATGTATGAATAAAGGCTGGAAGCAGTAGGTCAAATTTAATAATTTTTTGGCATTTTCGGTGATTAAAAATGTACTCTGAAAAAATATTCTTTATGCAGTTTTTAGTCTTTCCCCAACATTCTGTAATAAGTATATAATCAGAAGAGAAAGAGATTAAGAGAAAGAAGGCCCCTAGACATGCAGAAGCAAAGTGTTTTGTTGAAAGTCCTTTGAAGCAATTATTTTTTATTCCATTATTTGGTATAAGCATGGAAAAGTCTACTGAAAATTCACCTGTTTGTTATCCTCTGCTTGGTTGGGATGGGTATGTTCTCTCCCCGGGACAGGCACAGCCTTCCCCTGCCCTCGGGGGTGTTAGGTTGGGGCATGTCACAGAGCAGGCGTCTGCCTCTCCGTCTGCCTGGATCAACTTGTGGTGAACAGAACGTTACCAGGAGGATGCGTGGCTCCACGTGGAGGAAAGGATTGATTCCTTTTTTGCCCTGTACTGGGGTAGATGGTATCAGAAACTGTAACTTCACATCTGAAGCACCCCACGTTTTGTCCTGTGCATATTAACTTTAAGTCACCAGATAGTTTCTTACATTCTCAGTAAGTTATATTTATTGGCCAGTATAAGCCAGCTTTGTGTTTTCCCTGAAGAGTAGTCTAACAGTTATTCTTTTAAAGAACACCGGGGTCCAGCTGTCTGGAAACTAGCCATGAACACTGGGTGGGCCCCACGACAGGGGTCGGGAGGAGGTCTTAGGGCAGGCAGAGCCTGGCGCCTGGAGGGCATCGTGGCTGAGGTGGGCAGTGGGGTGGTGTGGGCAGGTGATGGGGAAACAGAAGCATTCAGATGTGTGGGGTGTGCATGGGTTTTCAGTATGGATCCCTAACCCCTAAGGAGCACTGGTGGGCAAGGCAGAGACCCATTTAAGGGAGCTAGGGGGCGAGTCGGGGGTTGGGTTCTGGAATAGTCAGTTTCTGTAATGAGGGCTCAGGGTCAGAGCAGCCTTGTCAGTAAGGGCGAATTGGTGCCCAGTCATGCATGTTACTCACTAGGATTCCTTAAATTCCTCTCACTATAGATAGGATTGTTCTCCTACACAGAGCGTCTTCGGGCTGTGGGCACTGGAAAGCTCTGAGGTCAGGGAGCTGAGCCCTTCCCCTCCACGTCCTGGCCCACGGTTGCAGCAGGTGCATAGCCTCATTCATTGATTTCTCCTGCAAGTATTTTTTGATCCCTTGTTTCCTGAGTTCCGTGGCAGGATCTGAAGGTACGGCAGTGAACAAGACACAGGAGCCCTGCCCCCATGAAGTTTAGGATCTAGTGGGAAAGATAATTAACAAGTAAACACACCAGCCTGCCACCACCAAAAACAAACAAACCACTGCAAAATGATTTATGGTTTTGATTAGAGCTATGAGGAAGGAATGGGTGATGAGAGAGCAATGGGAGGTACCTCTTTAGGGAAGGTGCTCGGCAAAGGCTCATCTGCCGAGGCGACATTTGAGCTGAGGCCTAAGGGATAAAATGGGCCAAAAAGGCAACCTTTGGGTGAGGATTGTTTCAGGCAGAGTCACAGCACGTGCAGAGGCCCGAGATGTGAAAGGGTGGAGTGTGTGAAAAGGGGAGACCGGTGGGCTGGAGCTCAGAGGGAGGGGAAAGTGTGGCTGGATAGGGTTGGACAAAGGCAGGAACACATCATGTGGGTCATCTCACATTTAAAGGAAGCAAAAAAAGGGAAATTCAGCTTTTCAACTTTAATGGTGCATTGAAAAAGCAAAACAATACTGTAGATCTAGAATTAAAGTCTCAGTTGTGCAACTCAACTACGTAGGAACAGCTGTTTAGTTGTTCTTTCTCCTTTTTTCCATATTGTGTAATATATACCTTTTTATTTTAGCACTTATTATACATTATGGTTTAACATCTTTCTAAAACTGAGTAAGATCATGTCACTCTTCAGAATTCTTCAGGGTCTGCCTGGCTCACTCACAGCAAAGTCCAAAATCTTAACCATGATACTACCCCGCTACCCCGCTGGCCTCCTCCCTCCCGCCTCCCCTGGGCTTGCTGGGCTCTGGCTTCCTTGCTGTTCTGTGAACACACCAAGAACTACCCCATCTCCTGCAAGACCTTTGTACTTGCTATTCCCTATTCAGGAAACTTCCATCATATAGTCACATGGCTTGTCAGCCCCCTCCCTCCCCCCCATTTCCTTCAGGGAAACTTCCTTCTGCTCAAATCTCAAATTATCAGAGAGGCCATCTTTTACCCCTTTGTATCAAATATATTGTACCGTCCCTCTGTCACCCACTGTCCCATTACTCTGCCTTATTCTTTTTCGTGGAACTTAACACCACTTGAAACATATTTATTTTTATATTTATATTTTAAATATATTTTATATTTTAGTTGTTTATTGCCTATCCAACCGTCACCCCAAGGAAGTGGGGGCTTTTTTTGGTTCACTGCTTTTTTTTGCCTGACAGCCAGAATAGGGTCTGACACATCGTAGGTATACAGTAATTTAGTATATTAGTTGAATTTGAATGTCTGTTTTCCCCACTGGGATGTGAGTCTTGAGAAGACAGATCTTTGCATTCCCTTGTGCCCAGCACAGCTGGCACCTGGGTGTCCTCCATAAATTGTGGCCAGACAAATGTGGACACAGACATCTATCCCGATGATAGAGCTTTTCTGGGAAATCACTGCTTAGATAGAGCTACCTAGAGTTATATAAAGAAGTAGGTGTTCACTTGGTGACTTCCTTTCATTTGCTGTTTTCCAGCGGTCCGAATCGTGGGCATTATATTACTATTGTGAAAAGTCATGGCTTCTGGCTTCTGTTTGATGATGACATTGTAGAGGTGGGTATGCAGATGATCCTACAATTGGAGTAGGGCAGAGACAGCGTTTTGAGGAATGTGTATATGTGAACATTTTCTACAAGAGGCCTGTTTTCCCATAGTCTGACTTGAAAAACAAGTTACATTTCTCAGAACTAAACTCTGCCTCTCCCTATTCTCTATGGAAAGGGAGAAGGGATGTGGGGGTGGACTCATTAATGCTGTGTCCTCCTTAGCTGATCAGCCATAGACATGAGATCTCTATGCCATCATAAATTATACTTATATGTAACTCCTGTTTCCTACCGTGAGGAAGGCCCTCTCTGGTACAGACCAAATAATAAATTTTGAAGTTCTATTAAAATTCTTTCATTGTACCAAATTTTTCTTATATTGATTATTATTTAAAAATATTTTTTTCCAGTCTTTGGGACCTGGAAATCTTTATATTACATCAAAGTATTCCATATATTGATTTTGTTGTAAAGGAACACCAGCTGGAGAGAATTCCACATGCAAAGACACGGTCTGTTTTAGCCCACTAGGGGTACACTAAAGGGACTGAACTCTGATGGCCTGAAAGAATTAAGGTTATTTCCAAGACCCCCAGTTTACCGTTTGAAAGACGGAAGTCCTGGCTTCTTCAAAGAATGCCCACATATGGTTGCTGATAAATCAAAGGGTGGCTTTCTTCCCCAATGATTTGCAATTTATGTAATCATGTCCCTCTGTCAAGTCTGTGGAATTATCCGTTTGCTATTGAAAGTTTCCAATTGTGATTTTATAAGAAACAGTATGTTTACATTTTCTTGTGCATTACATTAGTTTTTCTTTCCTTCTCCCAGTAATCATGTTGAATAATTGTATTGTTTTATTTCTCTTTTATTGCAGAAAATAGATGCCCAAGCTATTGAAGAATTCTATGGCCTGACATCAGATATATCAAAAAATTCAGAATCTGGATATATTTTATTCTATCAGTCAAGAGAATAATTTAAAGAACCGTGGGACTAATTCAAGTGGGGCAAAATATTCAAAGCACTATTACCTGGTTTCTCTGCAGACTTTCTTCTTCCCCAGCAGCCCACCAGTGGTATTACTCCGAGTCTCAATGGTCTGGCTGTGTTAGACTCTCTCGCCCCTTGTTTTTTTACATACAGCACTACTTGTGGTCTTATTTTAGTCTGAGGTAGAGTTAACTGCAATCAGATTGTAGTAAGATTTATATGAATAACAGTTGCTAATTTTAGGATTGGGTAAATGCTATGCCACTGGCTCTGTCTGGCTGAATTAGAATGACATTTCCTCTGAATGTCTACCGTCTATTTGGGGTCTTTGCTAAACTTCCTAAATGGCTTCCGGGGTCTCCTTTCAATGCATTCCTTTAAGTTGCCCCTGGAAACGTTGCTCCCCATTTTTAGCTTCTCTGCTTCTTTTCTGACAGAAGGACAGAAGAATTGGGTAGATGGCCACCTTTTAGGGGGCTGCAACTGTAGCTTTAAGTTTGTGCAAGTGAAAATGTTTAAAAGTGAGTGACCTCGATACTGAAATCATCCTCCAGGTGGAACAGGATGAAGAGAAGCTGTTCATGGTGGCTAGCATCTGCCAGGGGGCGTGCTCACCTAGCTGTTAGAATTCCACGGGCTAAGAAGGTGTGGAGCTCAGGGCAGGCAAAGCCAAGAGGAGGCGGCTTTTGTGGACAGTGAAAAGTTACTTTTCTTACCTTTCTGCCAAAACTAAGTTTCAGGAAAATAACTCTATGCTGTTTGTTTTTAGTGACACTTTTCTTCTGTCAGGTCATGTGAGTTGTATCTATCCTTTATCTGGCACTGCTAAGCTTTCCAAGGTATCTTTCCAATCCCGCTGGTGTTTTGCAGTCTGTGCTCCCAGGGCTGAGATGCCGTGGTGACTGCCTCCAGCACAGCTCTCCTTAGCCAGTCAGTACCAACATCATTCTTTATCAGGAAGAACAAAGGCACTGTACCGTTACTACCATCAGCCACGCTGTACAACTCTTCACTTTTTAACATTTCAGTCTGTTTACTGAGGCGCTGGCAAGTCCCAGGGCTAATATGGACCCTTCCCTAGAGGGAATACTGGAGTTAGCTGGGTACGAAGGTGGGTCAAAGGAAGTGTCAGTGGGCAGGCGGAGGAATGAACAAAATGGCGGCGTTTCTTTGGCTCAGACTCCTAGGATGCTTGACAAGACAGAGTTTTTTGGAAGACCCTCATCTCACCGTAGTTACTTTTACTTTTTTCACTTTTGTTATATATGTATTTATTAGATGGTATGAGGATTGGTACCTTTTATTAAAAGGGTCGATTTGGTGTTTTGCCGTCAAGCTGGTTTTTGGTTTCCTACAAATACCATGAGTCGTAGCTCTTGGCTTCTTTTGGGAGGTCAGTTGATTTCCATACACTATAATATACTGTGAACATATTATTTTGTTACCTAATAAATCAGCGAATGAACATGCAAACATTTGGCATAACGTGGACTAAAATTGAAATTGAAAAGGTTAGTGGCCGTTTTGCAACAATTAAGAGCATAGCACTTTATCTAGATGAAAACTGGATTTGTTATCTTGAAATATCTTGAACTGTTTGTTGCTCAGAACTTAAATAAGCATGCCAACACTCATTTGTTCATGCTTGAAGTCAAATGTTCTACTCTTCACTGGAGAAGACAAAAACAGGGTGATCTTCACGTTATTGTTTTATACAAGTGACGAAAATATACCTTGCCTTGTTTAGAGGCAAATTCATATTTATAAATATTTTGTCTTTTTTTCCTCCATGAAACATATGCAGTTATCACTTACCTGGAAGGTGAGTTTTTATTCTGTTTTTAAGGAGAGACGCTTTCCAGTTGAAGGTGATTGATATAGGGAACTGTTTGTGCCATATATAACCCATATATTTGACTGCAGGTTGCAAAGTTTAAAAAAATGATGGTTGATCTCTAATATATTTGGAACTGATTCATAAGAAAAACTATTAAAATTATCTTTAAAATGACTAATTTATTAGGAAAATTATTAGGAAAAAAGTTTAAAAAAATTATTAGCTAATTTATTGGGGAAAAAAGTTTCAATTGGGAGCCTATAGAAGTAATATCTGAATGCTAAGTCATAAATTCATTACATTTTCTTTTTCCTTTGAATGTGCAAAGAGTTTTTCCCAGTGACTTAACTGAAGTAATTCCTTTTAATAGAAAGGGTCAGTTAAAATTCAGTATTCATGGATAGATTTTTGGAATAAAAAAAATAAGTATGGAAGATAATGCAAAGACATTAAAATGGTTATGTGATGCAGGAAGAGAAAATTGGAAAAGGACCAAAACATACTCATCCACCAACCCTCGATCAGTTTTTTAAACTTTAGAGTTATCTGGTCATTTCTTCTCTCTTCCTCTTCAATAAATGAAACAAACACTAGGCAGCTACATTTTCCCCCCAGTCATTTCACTTTATGTAAAGACAGTAGCAAACACTTTTATTTTTCATCCCTCATTCATCGCGTAAAGCAAAGAATGGTGTGGGATATGTGAGACCATTCTGACGTCAGCGATAGCACACAAACTCAGCAATATTCCCTCCCACAGCAGGGGTTTTTGTGTGTCGGGGTCTTTGTGTGTCGTTTTCTGGCAGGAGTGAGTAGGCCTGCTGTATTTCTTTTAACTGCTGGGTGTTTTAAAATAAGTTACAGTGTTTTCCATTTAAAAAAGAGAAGAAATATTTGCTTTATTGGTTACTTACTAGTTCAGCATCTAGATTATGGTACAGTATGCTAAAAAGTTATTTGTTTAAAAGTAAATTTTGGTAAAATGTTGATATCAGTGCCGTTATGTTGATGCATCTTCCATCCTGAGGCACTACGAAATAGGCTGGTTTGAAGAGAGCCAAGGAACAACATGAGAGGTGTTGGCTTGAATAGGAAGCCAGTCATGTTTGGTTTTATAGCTTGGTATATTTTGGATTTCAGATGAAATGGGGAAAAAAAATGACAGAAATGGCCCCTATGTGTTTATTTTCATGGATACCCTTAATTTCATGGGCATGCCTAACAATGAACTGTGTTCTAACTGGAGCTTAGGGCTTATTTTAGATATTGGAGTGTAGCTTTATTACAGATGGGTTTTATCTTTCAACATTGCATTTTGATCAACTTTGTATATTCATATGTATTGAAATATTGTGCACTAAATGTTTTGCCCTCGTTTGCTGTTATATGGTCAAGGCATTTATCAGCACTATTGTGATTAACTCATGTGAATGGCATGGGTTGGGGAAAATTATTTCCTACTTTTTTGCGTATTAAATTTCTGTTTTCCAGTATTACATTAATTTATTTTTGGCTTCCATTTCTGTATAACCAAAATAGTTACTGTATTTGTGTGGCATACACTTGATTTTGTTGCTAAAAAGAAAATTTAGTTTTTATTTAAAACAGTCTGTACCTTAAATTTTTTTTAATGTAACCAATTCAAGCACTTGAAGCAATAATGTCAATCTTGTGAAATTTCAGTCAGTTTAACACCCTGCCTCTAAAATTGTTTGCGAAAAAGTAAATAAATAAAATAGGAATTCTCTTCCTAGAGAATTATATCCGGGTAGCATTACACACATGGACATAAAATCCTTTTTATAAAATGTGAGTCATTGGCAAGTCTCATGTCCAGGTAATCATTCCACACTTAATTTTGAAGTGGTGGAAATGTAAAGAACATTCTGGTGATTGTAATATATAAAGGCAGTGCTACTGTCAAGATTGATGAAGTCAGTGTTCTGGAAATAACTCACCACTTTTTGAGTGAAAAAGATCAACAGAATTAATCCAGAAACCTATATCTGGGGAATAGCAAGTTGACAGTATCAGTGAAAAAAAGAATTAGGGGTAGGTAATGAGGCATCACAACGAATTGCTTAGTTGGGACGTTGCGTATACAATCTCTTTTACCAGTTATGAAATAAAAGATCCATTTCCAAAATAAGGAAGTGGCTTCCAGCTCTCTGATGGAAGAGAGCATCTGGTTTCCGGGAAGGAGTAGGAGTGCAGTCCTGGCCGGAGTGTACTGACAGCCAGCCCCAGGTGGTTTCTGAGCTGTGGGGACCCCCAGCTGGGTGCACACCAGCAGGGAGGCCGGGTGCAGGTCCAGGTCCTGAGGTCTCGCAGTGTGGCCTCCCAGGGCTGAGACTCAAGCTTGCTGTTCACATGCCTAAGGCTTTTTTCCCCAACCAGTCACTTCAGGGGGTCCGTGTGGGGGCAGGAGACTGTCATCTGAATACATTTGTCTGGGCCCACTTGTGGGAATAAAACCCACAGACCAAGAGCAGGGCAGTGTGCCTGTAAGTCTCCCAGTTTCCTTCCCTCTTCTCTGGGGGCAGTTCAGTTGAACCTGACTGAGCTGGAACAGAGGCTCATTGGGAAAGTCACCTATATCCGCCGTGCAGGCTGTAGGAGGGGAGGACCTCAGGAAAGTGTTTCTTTTCTAGGCCTCCTTTTGTCCATCTGTCCAATGGGATTTATAGGATAGGTCTGTCACCACCAGCAGAACACAATTTCTGGAATGAGAAATGTTCTCCATTTCTTCAAATTTCCCTCTCTCTCTGTTCAGTGATACTTAAAACACCTTCAACAGAGAATGAAGCCTTCCATTTCCACTGCCTTATATTTACATGAAGATAAAAATATTTGCTAAGTCATTTTTTTTTTCCTGAGGGAGGATTTTGATTGTGGGGACAGTACTAAAGACAGATGACTTAGACTTGTCCTAGAGATGCCTCAGGTGGAAAGATTTGTCACCTAGTATATGCTAAGGATTGTGATAGGAGTTGGGGATAAAAAGGTCAAGCAGAGAGGGTCCCTCTTCTAGTCTCTTGCCTCAGAAGAAAAGTCTGTGGAAAAGAAATTTATGAGATTGTAGAAATAATGTGTGTGCAGGGAATTCACCACCATCAACAGAGTTTGGTCTTGGGCCTGGGTCTTACTGAGCTGACGGCACTGTGTCCGGTAGGTCCTGTTAGATAAAGCAGGCTGGTTCCTTTTTTTTTCTTGGATCCACTGCTTGAAGCCCTACTTTCCTCCCTGCCTGCTCTTCAGTGTTGCCTTAGCCTGCCTTTTAGCTCCTTCTAGGGAGAACAGAAATTTTAAAAACAATGTGTAAATCCATTACGTTGGAGCAATGGACTTGAGCATTTTGCCTCTTAACTCTCAATGTCAAAAGAGCCAGAATATTGAAAGTCTTAACAGTGGATTTTGTGAATCAGATATCTGAACAGTCTCTTTACATTATTCTCAAATAATTAGAGCCTATCCAAACTTAGCAAAATCAATCAGGGCGTGAGAGTTTTTAAGCTGTGTGACTAATAATTTTTTTGTTTTACCAACCTGTGTTCCCTTTTTTGGTTTCCCTTATGTTTTAATAATGCTTTGAACAAAGCACATTAGGAGCTTACAAACAAATGAAAAATAACTTCATTTTGGTTATGAGACCCCAGAGTCAGAAAAGACATTAGATTTTGTAAAAAAGATTCGTAATTTTGTGCTCATTTCCCACATGATAATTCATAATAAAGTATTTATTAACAACCTTGGGGGCACCATCTTCCTGTTGTAAGTTACATAGATGCGTCTTTCACTTCTTCCCTCCCTGGGGAGAGCACACAGGTTCTGTTAGGCAGTGTGGAATTCTACAGAAACTCTTCATGGGAAGGTTGGACACTTGAGTTGTGCATTGAAATCCTATTTTGTTCATACCTCCTCTTAGTTATAGGGGGCTTTCAGAAGAAAACTGAGACTTAGATTTGACTTGGCTGGAAGCAAAATAATTTGATAGTTGGAGCCACCATTTCTATATATTTAACTAAGGCCTCCTCCTGTGGTCCAAATCAACTGTATTTGTATTTTAGAGTCTCTCCTAGTTGACCTTGCCTGAGAGAACATTCTGTGCTGAGACAACTGAAAATAAACATGAGAAAAATTTAAGAATCTTTATACCTTGTGCGGCAAGCTAAGTCTCTACACTCAAGAGCTCCTCTCCACGTTGAGAATTGCCTGTTTCCCATGCTGAAGGATAGAAAATATTTTTTAATGGTTTATGAAACCTGTGTGAAGAAGGGACTCGTTCTGTTGGCCTCCCCCACACTCCCACCCCCAGAATGAATTGTTTGAAAACTCTTTGAAAAGAAGTTGCTGCTGCATATTTTTCTATCTTGGCTACCCCAAAGCCCAGAGAACAAAACATAAGTATGAATTGCTCGCCTACGTGTGTCGTTTGTGCCAACTTGGATTTCTGAGGCTTCAGCAGAAGTAGAGGTGAAAGCCGTAGAATGGAGAGGAACCCTCTTCCTGGATGTTCATTGATCGACCTGGTCTTTATGTCGTCTGAGTCTGTGAAGGTTTATGAAGAACCAACTCACTGCAGAATCTGGCCTCAGATGGGAGTTTTTACAGAATGTAAAAGAATAAGGGGTGTGAACCTTGGAGCAGGAAGAGGTTAAGACCCTTCTAATATTACTGCTTAGCCTCCAGCCTTGGTTCTCTGCAACACCTGCCCAATCTGTGCATTTGCCCTGCAGGGTTAGATGGGACCCAGTGAACCCCACAATCCCTCCTGCCTCTAGCTGATTGATGTACAACCTACAGATTTGATGCCCTTTCTGTGGTTGCCCTGACCTTGATCTCTGATAGGAGAATTTTATTTTATTTTATTTATTTATTTTTTTTGTGAGGAAGATCGGTCCTGAGCTAACGTCTGCCAATCCCCCTCTTTTTTTTTGCTGAGGAAAACTGGCCCTGGGCTAACATCCATGCCCATCCTTCTCTACTTTATATGGGACGCCGCCACAGCATGGCCTGACAAACGGTGCATTGGTGCACGCCCGAGATCCGAACCGGTGAACCCCGGGTCACCGCAGTGGAGCGTGCGCACTTGACCGCTTGTGCCACCGGGCTGGCCCCTGATAGGAGAATTTT